GCAGGAGTGACATTCTGGAGGTCAAAGTGGCCGACAGGCCTCCCAGGTCGGAGGCAGAGATGGAATTCATCTGCACCGACTGCGGGGTGACTTTCCGACAGCTGGCCCGCCTGGAGGCGCACCAGCTGCGGAGTCACCCGGGCGCCCGGTCCTTTCCGTGCGAGCGCTGCGGGAAGAGCTTCGGCCGCAGTTCCATCCTCAAGCTGCACATGCGCACGCACACGGACGAGCGGCCACACGCCTGCCACCTGTGCGGCCACCGCTTCCGCCAGAGCTCCCACCTGAACAAGCACCTTCAGACGCACTCCTCCGAGCCCGCCTTCCTGTGTGCCGAGTGCGGCCAGGGCTTCCAGCGGCGCGCCAGCCTCATGCAGCACCTGCTGGCGCACGCCGAGGGCCAGCAGTCGCCGCGCGCCCCCGAGGCCAAGCCCGAAGCGCGCGAGCTGGCCGTTGTCCTGTGCTCTCACTGCGGCCAGACCTTCCAGCGCCGCTCCAGCCTCAAGCGCCACCTGCGGATCCACGCCAAGGACAAGGGCCACCAGTGCTCGGAGTGCTCGGGCAGCCTGCGCTCGGGCCCGGAGCGCAGGCCGTACGTGTGCAACGACTGTGGCAAGGCGTTCCGGCGCAGCGAGCACCTGGGGGCCCACCGGCGCGTGCACACGGGCGAGCGGCCCTTCTCGTGCCAGGTGTGCGGCCGCAGCTTCAGCCAGAGCTCCCAGCTGGTGTGCCACCAGCGGGTGCACACGGGCGAGAAGCCCTACAGCTGCCCGCACTGCGGGAAGCGCTTCGTGCGGCGGGCGGGGCTCGCCCGCCACCTCCTGACGCACGGCGGCCCGAGGCCCCACCACTGCACCCAGTGCGGCAAGACCTTCAGCCAGACGCAGGACCTCGCCCGCCACCGGCGCAGCCACACGGGCGAGAAGCCGTGCCGCTGCAGCGAGTGCGGCGAGGGCTTCAGCCAGAGCGCCCACCTGGCGCGCCACCAGCGCATCCACACCGGGGAGAAGCCCCACGCCTGCGACACCTGCGGCTACCGCTTCCGCAACAGCTCCAACCTGGCCCGCCACCGCCGCAGCCACACCGGCGAGCGGCCCTACGGCTGCCAAACCTGCGGCCGGAGCTTCCGGCGCAACGCCCACCTGCAGCGGCACCTGGCCACCCACGCGGGCGCGGGGACCGAGGCGGCGTCCAGGCCGGCCGAGCCCCCGCAGGAGTGCCGGGAGTGCGGCAAGAGCTTCAGCCGCAGCTGTAATCTGCTGCGCCACATGCTGGTGCACACGGGGGCCAGGCCCTTCTCGTGCGCGCAGTGCGGCCGCAGCTTCAGCCGCAACTCGCACCTACTGCGCCACCTGCGAACCCACGCCCGCGAGACCCTGTACTAGCCTCGCGCAGGTTCCGCCAGGCCCCGCCCCGCACGCGCGCGCGCGCCTCTGCGTCGCCCGTGTCCTGGGCAACCGAGGCCTGCGGTGGGTGTCCCTGGCCTCGCCCCGCCCCGCCCCGCCCCGCCCCGCCCCGCCCCGGCCTCCCTCTGGCTCCGCCAGACCTGTGTGTTAGTTTTCCCCTACCCCGGAGGCAGGTCTCCCTGGCTTCAGGGTTGTATTTCAAAATCCTAAAGTAAAACAGCTTTCCTGAAAATGACTCTGCTTTATTTTTTTGTGAGGTCCACCAAAACGCTGTTACCCTCCTACTGTGACAGTGACGCCTTTTTCCCTTCCCTTCCCCAGCACCTTCCATAGCAGCCTGGGGGGAGCAGGCCCAAGGACGGGCCTCCTCCCCCACCCGCAACACACACACCCCGAAAGGGCCAGGGTTGGGGGGGGCGACAGAGGGGTGCCATCTGTCCCAATCAGCTGTGAGGAAGGCCCGGGAATCTCACCCGGAGTTCTTCCTTCTCTGGAGTCTGCCCCTAACCTGTGCTGTCCAGTCCAGTACCCTCTAGCTGTATGTGGCCGTTTAAATTAATTAAAATGGTGGGACGCGTGGGTGGCTCAGTCATTTGGGCGTCGGGCTTCAGCTCAGGTCATGATTTACAGGTTGGTGAATCCAGCCCTGCGACTGCTCTGCGCTGACAGCCCAAAGCCTGCCTGGGATTCTCCACTCTCTGTCCCTCCCCTGAATTCTATCTCTCAAAATAAATAAAAACCTGAAAAAAATAATTACTTTAACAATGGGATATAATTTAAAGTCCCAGATTCTGGGTCATTCCAGGAAACCTTGCTTTTGGCATGTAGGTAACTGATTCAAATAGAAGCTGCCAGCAGACGAAACGAAACCTTCCTGATGGCCAAGACAGGTTGCGGGCTGGGGACCCGAACGACCCGTAATCCTGTAAACCCGAAGGTGGTTTGGCAGAGTGCCCACCTTCTCCGACCTCTCAGGCAATCTTGGCAATCCGGTGGACAGATTTCGATTTCTCCCAGTCTAGTGGACAGATTTTTAAAATCATGTGACTTGTGGTAATACTGCAAAAAAGAAAACAGCCCCCCCCCCAGCTGTAGGGCGTGTGCACACACACTTCCTGCTCTAGTCGGTGGCTTGTCACCTACAACCTTTCGGGTTGTCTTTGTCCCTCCACCAGCCTGACACACGACTGCTCTGTGGCAAATGCTTGTGGACATACAGTGAACTTGTCAGCCAGCGGCCAAGGGACTTGGGAAAGATCTGTCCCCAGATCTAGAGGAGGTCCGTGTTTTGGGGGGTTGGGAGGAAGATGAGGTGGGGTACAGAGAGTCACCAGATGTCCCAGAACAAATTAGAGCCTTGGAAGACCCCCCGAGGAGAAATTTTCGAGAAGGAAGCTTTCTTGATCAACTAAATGAGTAAGGAAGTTGGGAGAACCCATAGCATTTGAAGGCTTTATTTCTTGAGCACCTACTATGTACCGGGGAACGTGCTGGGCTATTGAGGAGAACAAAGCCTGAAATAGAAGAGGGGGACCACCTCAGAAGAACCGGGGGGGAGGGCACCCTCATCGGAGGGAACAGCAGGTGCAAAGTCCCTGAGCAGAGAATACTGTCCCTGAGGGAGATCTGTAGGAACCTGATGACACAGACACAGCCTCAGAGGCCCAGGTCAGAGTGTATTTACGATGGGAAAATGGGAGGGTGTTAATCAGGCAGTTACTTCATTTTGCCATGACATTGATTTGGCCTCGGCCCTGGAAAGATTTGGCTTGAAAGAGGCAAGACCGAGGCGACCAACTAGGTTTGGGATGACGGTGACCTTGATGGGGCCGTGGGGTCATGAAAGCCCCTGACGGCTTCAACACGGTAAGCAGGTTTTCCTCAACTTCTCACCGGAGTCAAGCGCAAAGGCACAAGGAGAAGTAAGAGACAGTCTGACCACAGGGTCATGTGAAAATGCGGGTCAGGGGTCTAAAAGAAACTGAATGTTGACTGGCCATGGGAGGAGAGGACACGACGTCCAGGGGAAAGCGAGAGCTAGGTCAGGCCCTGGCGGGGGACGGCCCCTTGGAGCTGGGGACTCAGGCCTGAGATGGGCCTCCCAGTGTAAAAGGCTCTCAGAGGGATCCCCTGGGAATGAAACAGGATGAGGGCCAGCACAGGGCTCCCCAAAGTCCACTCCCTCACAGGGCAGGGGCAATGAGCAAGCGGGGCCCCTCAGGATGACCAGGGCCACCATCAGGGTCTGGCTTAGCCCTTGCCCACTCCCGGTGGACTCACAGCTGTTCCCCAGGGAGGTGATTTTTCTAAGAATCAAGAGTTCATTCGAATGATCCAAAAGGGTCTTTAAGAAACTGGCAGATGGCGGGGGGGGGGGCGGGCCACCTGGGTGGCTCAGTCAGTGGGGCAACCGACTTTGGCTCAGGTCATGCTGTCCCAGTTCGTGGGATGGAACCCTGAGGCCAATGTCGGGCTCGGTGCTGATGGCTCGGAGCCTGGCACCTGCTGCGCATTCTGTGTCTCCCTCTCTCTGCCCCTCCCCTGCGCGCGCGCGCTCTCTCTCTCTCTCTCTCTCTCTCTCTAAATAAACATTAAAAAAAGAAAAAAGAAAAAACAAAGAAAACGCCACAGGAGTGAGTGATAGAAATGCCCCCAGCTGTGAGGCCTCCCGGCTCCCAGTCACCTCCCCACATCCCTCTCACCCCTAGGCACGCCTCCCTGGTCCGGAGCCTCTCCTTTGCTGGCGTGTTTTCCCGCACCCCACCCTCACCCCACCCCACCTGTCCCCTTTCCTGCTCTGTCCTCAGGTCAGGGCCCCGGAAACCGCCCCCCTCCCCCCAGCTCTATCTCAGCAGCTGCCGTTTACGGCTAGACACCCCAATGCAAAAATCTGTGTGCAGCTGCAGGAAGCAGGAAGTCAGTGGGGGAGGGGGGAGCTTCAGGGAAGCGGCCTCCAAAATGGTGAGCTGGGCCGACCCCCTCCCTGCCCTGGCCTTGCTCCTGGCTCCCCTCCCCCCACCCCCTCCCGAGTTTCTGCATTTGCAGGCCCCCAGGAGGCCTGAGCCAGAGATCTGAGTCCCGCCCCGCCCTAGGCTGCCCTTCGCTCTGGTCCAGGTAGGGGTGAACCCTCCTCCCCCTCCCTACTCCTCCCTCCCCCGCCTCTGCCCCAACCTCAAAGCCAAGGAGTTTCCATGGCCTGGTGAAGGATGAAGACCCAGGTCAGAAGAACAAGCCAAGGGGCAAATGTGCCTCAGGCCTGAGCTCCCTGCTGCCCCAGCGTCAGGCAACGCGCAGGCCAGAAAACTTCCAGCCCTTTCCACAGGCCAGTTGTCACCCGTGTCCATGTACAGATTATAGAGGTCAGGTGGAACCCCCCCCCTCCCTGGGGTCCTGCCCCCTCCCCACCCAGCCACTGGGGGCTCCTGCCTCCCGTCCAACAGGCACTCAGTTTAATTCAACCAACTTTTTTTTTTTTTTTTAACGTTTATTTATTTTTTGAGAGACGGAGACAGAGCAGGAGCTGGGGAGGGGACAGCGAGAGGCGGGGAGTCACAGATTCCGAAGCAGGCTCCAGGCTCCGAGCTGTCAGCACAGAGCCCGACGGGGCGGGGCTCGGGGCTCATGCCCATGAACCCTGAGATCCTGACCTGAGCCGAAGGTGGACGCTCAACCGACTGAGCCCCCCCCCCCCCGGGCGCCCGCAGCCAACTCTTATTAGGACGCCACAGCCAGCGCGACGGGGCCGTACCCGGACAAGGAAAGCGGCCGGGGAGGGCTGGGCTAGGCCTGGACGGCGCTCCTGAACACCTGAGCCACTGAGGTGCAGAAACTGTTAAAGGCGCTGCAGATGGCCTCCACCGCGTTGCAGAAGGCCTGAAAGCCGGCGGCCACCTTCTCCCTCAGCCACGCCAGTGTGGCCTGCCACTTGAGCTGCAGTTGGTAAAGCAGCCTTCGGAACAACCTCAGGGCTCGGTCACAAAAGCTCTCCTCCGTCTTCCGGACCACGGGGTGCTCCTTCTCTTCCAGGTCGAGGACGGAGGACCTCAAGACTCTGGAACGTAGCTCCTGCCGCACTTCGGGAAGTAACGGGCTGGATTCCTGCGAGGGTGGGGGTGCCGTTCGGGTCGGGGTCCCACCTGGAGGACGCGGCCCAGGTCCTGGCCCCGGCTGAGGCCTCCCCACCCGTGTGAGAGTCTGGGAGCCAGAAGCCCGGCTCTCCCGCCGACAGCTCCACACTCGAGAAGACTCCATCGGGGGGCTCGGCCCCTCCGTGCCTCCCCACCGGCAGGGAGCAGCGTGGTGCTCGCGGACAGGCGTCTGAGCCCAGCACCAGCCCCGCGCGACCCCTCATACGCGGAGGCACCCCTCCACCCTCAGCTTGGCCGGGGGGGGGGGGCGGGAATCACTTGGTTTAAAATCCTCCCAGCCTCTCCCGCCCGCAGTCTTCTCCCCCAAGTCCCCACCTGTTCTCTGCTCCCCAGGCCCCCATCACTGGGTCCAGCCCAGGGGCCTGGGGACCAGGTATCTGGCATCCCTGCTCTGTCGTCAATATGCGCAGTGACTTGATCACCTTCCTAAGCCTCCCTGGGCCTCTGCATTTCTCCCCTGTGCCCTCACCTGCACACGGGTGTGAACTAGGAGAGTGTGTCAGGAGGTGCCCAGGTGTAAGGAGTGAGCAGACCCGAGGTAGCATCTCCATCACCCTCACCGTCATCGTGATCATTGTGAAACCACCCACCCGACCCCAACTGTAGAGCGCATGGGAGTGGGGGGCGCGGCGACCCACCGGTGCTCCTTGGGATTGGTGTTGGGTCCTGTCACAGAAGATGTCCACCAGCTGGTGCTGCGCAGAGAGGAGAGGCGGAAGTGAGAGAGGCCTCATCGTTCCCCCTCTGGGGGCCCCTGGGTGGCCCAGAACGTTCTCAGCTCCACACAGCAGGACCCAGGTCCCCCTCTCTCCCCCAGACACACACTGGGAAGAGCTTCTTACCATTTGGTGCCTCATAAACTCAATAGGATTTCTGCCCACCTGTGGGGGTGACAGTGATACTCAGACACATGTGACCTTGTCACCCCCCACACTTGCTGTACACACACACACACACACACACACGCACACACCCTCACCACACGCATGGGTGAGCATTGCCCCAGAGTGCTCAGGATCCACTGTGTTACCAAATACCTGTCCCTCTCCGTCCCGGCTGACGGGCTGGCCAAGGGACGGGCTGGCGGGGGCGGTGCTCTCGAAGGCGGTGACAGGTATGCAGCTCTTGACAGCTGGCTCTGCAGACCCACCTCCCCTGCCCGGACCCTCGGCTTGCCCCACAGAAGCGCAGGGCAGCCCGGACACGACCTCACGGGTCTCCACCAAACCTGGCGCCGGCTCCCTGGTCACTGGGCAGTCCCTGCCACACGCGGAACGTCCACGGCTCTGGGCAAATATCTGTTGTGAGGCACCCGTCTCCACGCTTCTTGAGTCCCTGATGGCACCAGCCTGTCACCCCAATCGGGGGCGCTGGCCGCAGGGAACAATTTGCTCTCCAACTCGGGCTCCCAAACTGGGCGTGGCCACCGAGCCTGGGGTCATTCCAGAGTCCACTGTGACAAACCCCGCAGGGCCCTGGAGCCTGTGGCCAACCTCACAACGGGGGTGGGGGAGGTGACCGGACACCCCAAAAGGGAGGAACAGACACCAAGGTCCTGGGCGGCAGGCCCAGGCAGGGAGGAATTTTTAAACTTGGCAGGAAAGCACGACCTCCCCACCTCCAGGTTTCCAGGGTATCGGGACAGGGTCTACCCGGGATCGGCGCCTCTGGCCCTATAGACCCTCCATGCCCCAGCTGCGCCACCAACGCATCGGGTCCGGCTCCTGGAGTCACCCCCTTGCCCTCATACACAGCGTTCCTCAGTATCCTTAGCAGACACACACGCAGACCCTCTCCCCGTAGTTTGCCCCCAGACCAGAAATCTGGCCCCACAATCGGGACCCACTGTATAAAGTGAATGACTCACAGCAAAATGAAACGGTGAGGCTGTCTGTCAATAATTATTCAGAATTTCAGGCAGTGAGAGAGCATTCAACAAAGTAAGCCGGGGGTGGTTATGAGCCTGGGGCCCTGTTGACGGCACGGGTCACATGCCTCTGACCCCCTGCTTCCCCAGTGGACTCCCCCATTGGCCTAGGAGAATGGGGCAGAGCCAGGTGCACGTGGAGAGACCAGGGGGGTCTGGGGGCCAGCGTGAGCGGGAGAGGGGGACACACAGCGGGGAAGTGGAATCTGGCCCCCCGCCCCCCCTCCAATTGCTCTCACTCACCTTGGAGGACCACATGGTGGCTCAGGGCTCTGGGGGCTGTGGCCTGGCGCGGAGGAACAGGTGTGAGTTAGAGGGTTCAGGGAAGCGGCCTCCCCGCCAGCCCACCCACCACTGGAAGTCGCTTTGGCTGCAGCCTCCTCCCCAGGCTGCCAGGTCACCTCACAGATTCTCCCAGCCTATGCTTCTGCTCCAGAGAGAGCTTCTGATTTAAGAGGGAGGAGGGAGGAGGGAGAGGCTGGGGGTGGGTGGAGCCTGGCTTGGAGGCAGGATGTGAGGCTGTGTGTGTGTGTGTGTGTGTGTGTGTGTGTGTTTGTGTGTACGCACGTGTGTGGCACACGGAGACAGAAGCAAGGACAGGGAGACCGCCTGGGAGGGGGTGGGCAGGGCCCCTGGCTGTGCCCCCTCCACTCTCTGAGCTGGGGTGGGGAACTTCAGAGCCCAGGAACAAGCCTCTTTCTCAACCTTACCGGCCGAGACAGGGAAAGACAGAGGGAAAGTCCAGACTGGTGAGAGCAGATCCGGGCACTCCCAGGTTCTGGAAAATGAAGTCATCCTGTTGAGGGTCAAGTAAGGTACTGGGGAATGCTGACTAGGTCACTTGCAACGGAGCATACCCCAGCTCCAAAGTCCAGAGAATGTTCCAAGCACCTCCAGGCCCAAGGCAGAGCAGGGCTGGCAAGATCCCTAAGGTGGGCCCACTGGGAGGGGTGGGGAGGGGAGCTGAGCAGACTGCCCCATGGGCCCCTGCAGGGGAGGCTGGAGGTGATGCCTGTCTGCCACGGGACAGGGTGAAGCCCTCAGGAGGAACCGAGGGCCTAGGGTCAGCTGGCCAGACTATCCTGAGCCCTCCTGGGGCCGAGGGGCACCATGTCCCGGCCGGCCCTGTGCAGTTCTGGGGTCACCCCCAGTTCGGCTCGCCCTACTCTGGCCCAGAGTCCCCCCGCTTCACCACAGCCGTGTCTACCCTCTACACTGGGGCTGCCCGGTGCCTGGGGCCGCGAAACCGATCAAGGCCTCGGCAGGGTGGTCAGGGTGGTGGCTTCGAGGGCCGTGGGGGAAGGGTCTGTTCCAGCCTCTCTCCCAGGCCTGTGGATGACCTCTTCGTGCTCATGTCATTCTCCTAGCATGCGCGTCTGTCCGCTAACTTCCCATTTTTATAGGGACACCAGTCTTACCGGATTAGGGCCCATCCAATGACCTCATTACCTTGATTCCCTCTACAAAGATCCTATCTCCAAATAAGGTCACCGTCTGAGGTCCTGGGGATTAGGACTTGAACGCGAGGACCTGGGCTCCCGGGGGGGCCCCCAGGAGGACAGAACTGTAAAGCAGATTTCCTTGGCACAAGCCTCACTTGCATTGACTAGACCCCAGCAGGCGTCTCCTGGCCCCTTAGGAGCCCATCAACGGTCTGAAACGCCCCGTGCACACCTCGGAGTCCAGATCCTTCCCTGAGCCATCTTTAAATTCCAGGTGGGGAGAGAAAAGGTGGCGGCTGCAGGTAATGGTCCTGGGCTTCTTTCTCGGGAAGCATGGCCCCCTGACCTCACGAGACGCTTGGCCCCTCCGTGACGGTCTCGCAGATCACCGTCAGCAAGCATTTTGCGTCTCGGCAGGCTGAACCATTTTCTATACAGCTTTGGCGAGAAACAACTCACACGCAACTCCCCCGCTGAAGCGTATAATTCAACGCACAGAACCGTGCACCCGTCACAGCCAATTTCAGAACATTTTCGTCACCTCAAAAAGGCTAGCCAGCACCCCCCCCCCCATCCCAAAGCCCCGCCCAGACAGCCACGCATCTACTGTCTCTGGAGTTCCCTGGTCTGGATGTTTCATATACACGGAATCACATAGAGATGGTCACGCTGTGTGACCTTTTGTGGCCGCCTTTTGCACTTAGCACGGGGCTTTCAATTCCTCGGGGTTGTAGCGCGAACCCGCGCGTCAGTCCTTTCGAGGGCTAATGAACGCTCCCCTGTATGAACGTGCCACTTCCCGTATCCGCGCGTCTGTCCATGGACATTCGGGTTGTTTCCGCCTTTTGGCTCTTACGAATCACGCTGCTGTGGACGCCCATGTACAAGTTTCTGTGCGGATGTCTGTTTTTAGGTCTCTTGGGTTCACACCTAGGAGGGGAATTGTTGGCTCCTATGGTAACTGACTAGGTTTCCCACTTTTTGAGGAACCACCAGACGATTTTCCAAAGCTACTGCGCCCTTTCCTATCCCCAGCGGCAGCGCATGATGGTCCGTTTCTCCACATCCTCGCCCACGCCGACTATGATGTTTTTGATTCTCGCAGCCCTGGCGGGTGTGAAACAGTATCCCCGTGTGGTTTTGATTTTCATTCCCCTTAGGACTAGTGATGTCGAGCATCTTTTCGTGGGCTTGTCGGCCACTTGTACGTTGTCCTTGGAGGGATGTGCATTCTGATCCTTTGCCCGTCTTTAAACTGGGTCATTTACCTTCTGCTTATTAAGCTGTCAGAGTATTTTATATATTCTGGATACGAGCCGCTCATCAGATATGTCCTTTGCAAATATTTTCTCCCGTTTTGTGGGTGGTCTTTTCATTTTTTTAATGGTGTCCTTTGAAGCACCAATATTTTACATTTTGATTATGGGACCATTTTAATGATAAAAGTGATCAATTTGACCTGGCATTTTTCTGTAGTATACTTAAGAATATGTGTGTGTGTGTGTGTATGTGTGTGTATTTTTCCCCCTAAGATTTTCTTCTAAGTAATATCTACACTCATTGTGGGGCTGGAACTCAGAACCCCGAGATCAAGACCCTCAGGCTCCACCAACGGAACCAGCCAGGTGCCGCAGACAAAGTGTTTTGTTTTAAAGTAGGTTCCGTGCCCAAGGTGGGACTCAAACCCAAACCCACAACCCTGAGATCAAGAGTCACATGCTGTTCTGAGCCAGCCAGGTACCCTTAATATATTTTTAAAGGCTGGAGAAGAAGTCTCCGTGTAGCACTAAAAGAAGCCCCAGATTTCACATTGGATGCCCCTCCTCTGAGGTCCCCTAGCCGACTTTTGAGTTTCTCTCTGTTCCCTCCTCCCACTCATTCTCTTTCCGTCTGTCACCCCACTGCCTGTCAACTCTGAATCCCAAGTTCTTCTACAAGACAGAGCAATTCAGGTCTGTCAAGCTCCTGCCACCAAACTCACCCCGGATCCATCTGTGCTCAGGAGAAATGAAGGGCTTTCTCTCGGGTCACTTTCATTGTCCTCCTGTGCGGGGCTCATAAGCTTTTAAAATATAAGTTTCCTCCTCCACATATTTTGAAAGGATCCTGACAGAGGCCCGGGTTTCGGGTTTTCTGGTGGCTTGGAATTCTCAGGTCACGGGCTGGCTGAAGACACCTGGCTGTTGCCCTCCGACTGGTCAGCTTGTCCTGACCGAGGGCCCTGCACGCTGGGACAGCAGCCCGCAGCCTCAGCCCCAGGCAGCACTGTGGGCGGATGGCAACCCAGGAAGTGGCCCCTAAGCGGCTCCACCCAAAGGGGATAGATCCTACTCGAGCATGGCCATCAACCTGATTCTGCAGAGAATGTGCTCAAGGTTGGTCCCTGGGAGGGAGAACACTTCAGAGACACAGAAAAACCACAAGACAGAGAGGACCTCGCCCATCAGGGCTGCCCCCCCAAGCTTACTCGAGTGCAGACCCCTGGCCCCAGCCCCCAAGTGATTCAGGGTGAGGGCATGGGATCCGCATTTTTAAGTTCCCTAGGTGATTCTGATGTGGAAGATTCCAGAAGTGCAGTTCCAGAGGCACTGATGTAGGTCCTGAATTCGGGGAGGAGTGGGAGGTGAATGAGGTGGTCCTCCCACTCATCGCCCAGGGGTGCTGAGGAAGCAGTGACCCCTGGATGGAAAGGGAACTCAGTCCACCGTCTTCACAGCACCGAGCCGCGGAGAACCCAAGAGTTCTCCCTGAGGGAAGCGGTACACGCTCCAGTGTGGAGGGACTGAGCGGATTTTTAGGGATTGGAGGGTGTTCTGTTGAACCGGGACTGTTCTGGGTCCAAGATGGTGACCAGAAAGGAGGTCCACGGGGGCCTCGGTTGTGGAGGGTCGTCTGGGTGGCCACTGATGTCACCCAGGACATGGGGCACTGATGTCACCCAGGATATGGGACACTCGTGCTCAGGGGGTAACTTGAGGGCTGGATCTGGGGTCCCCATCCACGTGGCATTGCCTGGGACGTTGCAGAAGCAGGACAGTGGGACTCTTCTGGGAAATTCGGAGCAGCAGGTGGAGAGAGGGGCTGGGGTTCAGTTGCCCCAATCAGTCCAGTCCTCTAAAGCCCCAAACAGCCAGGAGCCGCTATGAGGAACCTCTGTTGCCAGGTGGGGCCAGGGCTATAGTCACAGGCTGCTGAGAAGCACCAGCTCTTCCGGGGGAAAAAGAGCTTCCTGTAGCGGCAGCGCGTGGCGCAGCCAGGACAACGGTGGGGGTGGGGGTGGGGGTGGGGCTGGGGGGGGGGGGGGGGGGGGGGGGTGCTGGAACGGCGAGGGTGAGCACATGGCCCGTCCAGTCTAAGGGCTAGCCATTTGTCCGCGTCCCCAGGGCGAAGCTCCACCCGCATGAGCCCCGCCCCGGGACCGTCCCCCTCAGCTGGAGGCGACGCCCCCCACCAGCGGGGGTAGAAGGGACAGCAGGAAGGACAGCGACGGCCGCCCTGAGGCATGATTGATCTCGCACTGACAATTGCAGGCTCCGGGCTCCCGGGTGGCTTTGGGGGGCCTGGGGGCGCGTGGGTCGGCGCTGGGGGCCGGGCAGTCCAGCCACTTGGGGCCCATGGGCTGGGGGGAGTCGGACTCCGCCTTGACGCTGCCCTTGGGAAAGCGCCAGTAGTAGGCGCCCTTGAAGAAGTAGGTGTCACCTGCGGGGCAGGGAGGAGACACTTCGGGGGCCGGTCCAGACTGCCCCTCCCGCCGCGCCGCGTCCCTCCTGAGGGCTCCCCGAAACCCCCAGGAGGTCCCCTCTCCCCGTCCCCGGGACCCCCAGCGCCTCCGCGCGCCCTCTCCCACCTGCGTTGCTGACGGTGACATCGTCGGGGGCGGGAGGCGCCCCTTCCCAAAGACTCAGGTCGCGGGGGTAGCCGGGGTCCGGGCGCGCGGCCGCCTCGTCGTACCGCCAGTAGCGCCCGCCCCGGATCAGGTAGGTCTTCCCGTTGAGCGGCCACGAGAACACGGCGTCCACCTGCTCTCCGGCCGGCAGCCCCAGCTCCGTGAGCGGCCGCGGGGCGCCCTCTAGCTGCCGCTCCTGGAACACCCAGAACTGGGGGCCTGGGGGGCGCGGGGGGCGGCAGGTGAGCAGGGGCGCCCCCCCACCCCGCTCCCGGCGCCACCCCGCCAGCGCCCCGGCGCCCGCTCACCGCTGAAGAGGAGGATGCCGCCGTCCCGGGGCCGGGCGTAGGCGGCCTGGATGACCTTCACCCCGGCGGGCAGCCCCTCCCAGAAGCGGTGGAGCCTGGCGGGCCGGGGCGACACCAGCTGTCCCGAGGGTTGAACGCGCCAGAACCAGGGGCCTGTGGGGGGGCGGGAGGGGTGGCCAGGGGGGCCCGAGATGACCAGAGTCTTCTCCCTCCAGAGGGTGCCTGGGGGACTCAGGTCATGATCTCAGGGCTCGCGGGATCGAGGCGGGCTCTACGCTCTCACCGAGGCGCCTGCTTCGGATTCTGTGTCTCCCCTGCTCGCTCCCTCGCTTTCTCAAAAATAAATAAACGTTAAAAGAAGAAGAAGAAAGAAGAAGAAGAAGAAAGAAGAAGAAGAAGAAGAAGAAGAAGAAGAAGAAGAAGAAGAAGAAGAAGAAGAAG